AGAAGACACAAAAGAGCATAATTTAAGAGTCACAGTCTTTATCATTATAAAAATCAGTCTTTCTAAAATTAGCTTTTATTGTAACCAATCCATTGTCTTGAGAAACTTTATAAAAGTTAAGACAGCCATTCTCAGTGAAAGAAATGATTTATATAACTACAGTGACGTAAACCTTTTAACATAAATAACATAAATTTCCTCAAATATTGGTGATGATAACTGTAGGTGTGAGAGGACAACTAATAATCAATCCGTTCTAAATTTTGAACTCAAACGAGATATTGCTTAGGGTTTTTCCAGGAAAAAATATATCCCCCTGTTGGAGTGCAGCTCTATTTTCTTAACCTGAGTTAGGGATTTGAAAGATATTATTTTTCTGGAGGTTGGGGGCGAGATTGTCAATTAAATTAGCGTGATGGTCTGTATAAGCGGTAACAAATTGTTTCTTGAGCGGCACGTGGAGTAGATTTCTCCAGTGTGATGTTGTCAGTTTTGGGTATGAACTACTGTAAATTAATGAAATCACAGTGTTTCCATCAAAGCTAGTTCAGTTCTTTGTCATTGTTTTGCCTTTGCTCGTGTTGTTATAATTACTGGTAACCAAGCACAGGTATATAAGACTCCTGATACTTACAGTATGGCTGCACAGAAATCAAATGCACTGCAGTGAACTACCGAAGCTGTTTGCCTTTGGCTCTTATGCAGACATATTCAGAGGTAATAAATCTTCATATAAACGTGTGTCACAAGTGGCTTTGGGGTCCCTGGACTTTTAGATGTCTTTGTATTCCACCTATCCAACTAGAGCATTTACGCCTCCGGCAATCAAAACTTGTAACCCAATATGCCCGACAGACTAGTAACAAAAAATTCTTGGAGTTTCCAAAATAGAAAGTGAAAAATCCTATCGTCACTATTCTATCTTAGCCAATCAGATTCAATTACGTCATCTGGGATTCCAAGAATTTGAATAACTCGAATAATTCAGCGCCCTCTATCGGTCAGTGTCCTCTTGAGGTAGCGATCGATAGTGAGTCAGAATACAACGACTGGATTAGTCAGGATAGAATTCTAACTGATTTTGTACATGTTTTAGGGTGGACCGGTATCATGTATTGATCACAATTCCTGTACATTAATATCGATTACTCAGTACAGGGGTATTGTCCATGCTTATTCCGAGATTTTTAATTAACGGTACTGGGGGCGGTACAATGCATTGATCGATTGACCTGTCTTGTCGGACAGCTGTTGAGAGCACAAAACCATGCAACAAAATATTTCTAAATATTTTAGTATGGGCACACCAAGGAACTTTGTCAGTTTCAAAATGGAAAACGGTAGATGAAGAGGGTAATGAGGCTGAAAATTCATCCCAAAAAATGCCATATACGACAGAGAAAAGCCGAAAAGAACATTTATAGTGTCATGGACAGAAAGATTCCCCTGGTCAAGGTCGGCTGTTGCTAATGATAAAGCAGAGACGATGTTTTGTGAATTCAATAAGGCTAGTGAAATCCTGCTACCAATAAGTCCTGGGCTAGTGAGCTGTAACAGATGCCCCAGCTTGTAAATATGCATGAGTCAACTTCCACATACAGATAGATTCACGTAGTTAAGACTATAAGCATTGTGTATAAGTTTCATAACATTTGGTTGGGGCAAACTAAAGTTTAGAGAACGGAAACAAGATTTAGCAAAACGGTAAAAGTGACGCCACCCAATTTCAAACTTGATCTGTGTTTTGAGGTAATAAGCATTGTGTATAAGTTTCATAACATTTGGTTGAGGCAAACTCAAGTTAGAGAACAGAAACCAATTTTGGGACGTACGCACGTACAGACGGACAAGGGTAAAACTTAATGCCCCAACCGCTATGGCAGGGGCATAAAAAAGCACTTTTATTTTGTTCTTTAAAACTTTTCATTAATATCTTAAGAGAAATGAAGGCTTCAGAGCAAATGCAATGTGATTTCCATTACAAGTCATATTTCCAAGGAGCATAACTCGTTAAAAATATTTGATCAGAACTTATTTTCAAAAGTGTCAAGACATTGCTGATTTAAACCTATGATATAGTTTTCATAAAATTCTGGCAAGAATTGAACAGATGAGAGCGATAATATTGCAATTTTTCATATAATTAATATTTTCAAGGGGCAAAACTCTTTTAATAAACTGCTTCGCTGAGCGCAGCTGGATACGCCCGCAGAGGTCCAACCCTGAACAGTTGGGGCAAAAATGGACACAATATTCAAGCTTGATACAGGTCTGAATTTGGATTGTAATTAAATATTTGACATATTATAGGTTTTCTGAATAAATCTAGTCAAAGAACTTGAAATTGGTTATATGAATTGAATTTATATTCAATTAAAGATATCTTGCTGTTGTGTAATACACTGTGCTGTTGCGCAATACTTAGTAAATCTGTTTTCAGACTATAAACAAATAAAGTTCAATTAATTCTCAATGTCATATTAGAAATTTATGAAAATCAAAAGGGAGCTTACATCAATAGATATAAACAATTTACCAAAGTTTCATGAGAATTGCTGACAGCATTTTTGAGTTATTGTCCGAAAACTGGAAAATCCCCCCTTTTTTAATGAATAAAACCCCCATAACTCAGAAATATAAAATGTAAATTTTATAAAATTCTAAAGGGAGCTTACATCAATAGATATAAACAATTCACCAAAGTTTCATAAGAACTGCTGAAAGCATTTTTGAGTTTTTGTCCAAAAACTGGAAAATCCCCCTTTTTTTATGAATAAAACCCTGTAACTCGGAAACGTAAAATCTAAAATTTATAAAAATCCAAAGGGAGCTCAGGTCAATAGATATAAACAATTCACCACAATTTCTTGCAAGTTGGTGAAAGCATTCTTGAGTTATTGTCCGAAAACTGGAAAATCCCCCTTTTTTTAATTAATAAAACCCCATAACTCGGAAACGTAAAATCTAAAATTTATAAAAAACGAAAGGGAGCTCACGTCAATAGATATAAACAATTCACCAAATTTTTATGCAAATTGGTTAAAGCGTTTTTGAGTTAATGTCCAACATGTTGACGACGGACGGACAGATGGACGGACGGACGGACGGACGGACGGACGGACGGACAGACGGACGGACGGACAGACGGACAACGGTATACCATAATACGTCCCGTAAACGGTCGTATAAAAATTATTGATTGGCACTGATTTTCAAATTCGTCCAAAACATTGCTAATATAAACCTATGATTTTAATTTCATACAAGAGGCTGTCAGAGTGACAGCAAACCGTATTTTCCTGCAGAGGTAGAACACTGAACAGTTGATCAAGTATGGACACAATATTTAAGTTTAAAACAGTTCTGAATTTGGATTGTGATTGAATATTTGACACAGTATAGGTTTGTGACACAAAATGAATGTGGTCAAAGAACTGAAAAATTTGAAATCGGAAATATACCTATCATGGTCTAATATCCAAAATCTAACAATATTGTTATCATTAGCATATCAAAGAACCACAAGAATTCAATTTTTGAATTGTTGATGAAATCAAACAAAAGTTTAATTTAGGACCCTTTGGACCTCAATGGGGTATTATATAATCAATAGGGATGTCAACGAGTACTTTAGTATCGCTCGGTAGTACCGAGTATCGAATACCAAAATGATACTCGACTAATCGGTCTCCTGTAAGAATGTAATTGCTTTCTTAAGCTTAAAGACTAAAATATTTTTATTGAGAGCGCATCCGGGGAAATAAAATATTAATCAAAATTAATAAGAATTAAGATACGATTCGAATGTTTGCGTTTAACTGTCTCCCAAACAGAGGTAGGCTATGAACAAGAGCACTTTTCCAAATCTTACACCTTTAGCTAATCTGAGTCATTCCCCCACTTCTATACCGTCAGAGCATATATATTTATCACCAGGACTGTTATTACCTTAACAAAGACGAGAAATTGCCTCGTCCCAGAAAAAGTTGTCAAAATGATACTTTTAGATACGTACAAATTAAATGCACCCTGTGTCGACCCTCAGAAAATGATTAAAGGCATCAGTAAGTTCTAATTATTACCCCTTTGTTAATTATTAAATGTGTTTTTTTTTTTTACCGTTCCCAAATACTGTCATTTTTCTATAGATATTAATTAATTACATGATTAGATTATTGCTAGTTTACATAATTAGTATGTAGTAAATGAGCTGTTAATTATGGTATAAAATTCCTTGGACTATTATCTAGTCCTAGGTAATTATGTTCAGGGTTTTACGTTCATAAGACAACGATCCACGATTCATAAAATAGGCATAATTTTGTGTTTTCATTTTGTAAATATTTTACCGAGCGAGTACTCGAGTATCGCTTGGTAAATCCAACGAGTACTCGATTAGTAAATCTTCACCGAGTTGACATCCCTAATAATCAATAATAAAAATAAATACAGGTTTAGATTCAGCTTTTCAAAGAACCCTATATATATTTAATTTATGTTAAAATCAAACACAGTATAATTTTGGACCCCGATTTGGACCAACTTGAAAACGGGGCCCAAAATCAGAAATCTAAATAAATGTTTATTTTTAGACAAACTAAGCTTAGTTTTTAAAGGAGTTTCCTTCATCAAATTTTTTTTTTTATACAGAATAACAAACAAACCAACCACAAAATTATTCAAACAATTTAAAAAAGAAAAGATATAAAATAAATATCACACACACTCTTCAATATCAATGTTATTATCATATTCAGATTTCTCAGCATGATATCAGACAATGTCAATGTGATAATCATACTCAGCATGACATCAGACAATGTCAATGTGATTATCATACTCAGCATGACATCAGACAATGCCTGTGATAATCATACTCAGTATGGCATCAGACAATGCCTGTGATTATCATGCTTACTTAGCATGGCATCAGACAAATTAGGGTTCACAGGACCATTGTGTGCAGTCTTATTTATTCATAAGAAATAGGATATACATACCAAACAAATGACAAACTATTCCATTGAGCTGCACAATATATCAAAGTCTCATCTTTATTTCTATTTAATACTTTATGAGGAGTATCTATGTTCATGATTTGAAGTAAAGTTGTTAACTCTTGATGTCTAAAAAATTAAAAAGAGAACAAACTGACAGCTAATAAAACAATAGGTTAACTATGTTGACACACATATATATATAATTCCCACAAAATCTGCTACCAGATGAACTCATCAACTAACTAACACATAACAACATACAACAGTCAGAGGTCAAAAGTGTTTAACATCTTGAAAATTATGCTATATATTTAAAAACACATTTAAACTAGACAAAGTGATGCCCGCCCCAAAAATAGGGGTACAGCAGTTAACATTGTGTTATCATCTTAATCACCATAAAAACAAGCACAAAAAGGCATACATCAAGTTTAACATCCTCATTTTGCTTTTTTATTGTACGATTTTATTTATCTATGTAAAATCCGCCAATTAAGGATGGAAGGTTTTAAGTACTGGCGTAAAATTGCGCGTTTGAAATTTGCACAGGTAAAGTAAATACTCCAAAAATGACAAAGTTCAACTATCTCTCAAAAAGAAATATTAATAAAAATCAAAACCCTGACCACATGCACACCTTCAGTATATATACAAACAGCCAGCAAAGTGAAGACTTCCTAGCATTCAAACTGTAACTGGAATAACTATAGACCCATAATGGGACGGAAGGACGGACAGACAGATAGATGGACGGACAGGGGTAAAACAATATGCCCCCCCCCCCCCCCCCCCCAACTTTCAGTTGTGGGGGCATAAAAAAAAACTGTCCTGAAATTAATTCTTGTCCAATTTGAATGAATGTTTTAATATTGAATACATAAATATGTGCAATTTCTTGGAATAGTTTTTGAAATATTTGTTTAAATTATTCTTTAAAAGAAATCACTGTTTCAAAAATTTGAATTGTGCTTGTTTTTTTTTAAATATATTTTTACATGAAATATACGGCATAATTTTCCAGTTGTGAAACACTTTTGACCTCTGACAATATATATTAACATTAGGTTAGAATTTGGTTGGCCTGAAATCGATTTTTGACATGTTGGTTGAAAATGATGGCCCTGCTAGTCCAACTTGTTCAAGTGAACACTTTGACCTTTTTGTGGTTATAGGCTGGGCAGCTGAAACATTGAATACACCACCCTTTTCATATATTTTGAATGAAAAATAAATTGCTTCGCTGAGCGCAGCTGGATACGACCACAGAGGTCCAACCCTGAAGAGTTGCGGCAAAAACTGACACAATATTCGCGCTTGATACAGGTCTGAATTTGGATTGTAATTCAATATTTGACACATAATAGGTTTCTGACACAGAATAACTGTAGTCAAAGAACTAAGAATTGGTTATATGATATGAATTAATATTCAATTTTTTGCTTTTGTACAATACACTATGCTGTTGCAAATTTACCTCCCCCCCTTTTTTTCAAAAAAAATAAATTTGAAGGATTTTCTTTTTGATTTCTAAAATCTTGAGGAGAAAAAATTGTCCCCCTTCCCCCCCCACCCAATTTTTTTTTTAACCTTCTCCTTCCCTTTTTCCAAAAAAAAATTCTTTCCCTCAGTCATGGTCATAATTTCAATTCAAATTTCCAATGGAGTTTGCAACCATAATAACCCATTTAAATACATCATAAAGTCTTAAAATAGAAAATGACATACATAATCATAGCTAAAATTAATTTGCCTTAATCAGCATTTTTGAAATTATGAAAATGGTAACTTCTAAAAATGAATTGACAGCTTATCACCTCAAGACAATACAAAAATTCTTTATACATAATTTAAAAGCAGTGTAAGGGAGGTAATTCAAAGTTGTGTTTGAATTAGTCTCCCTTACACTGTAATTTGTACTTTTAAGTATTTGTCCATTAACCAGGACACCCTTGTTTTTTCTTACTTTTTTGCCCCTAATTCCAAAACGTTTTGAGCCATAACCTCCCAAAGCCAATCCTAACCATCCTTTTGTGGTATGGAAACTTGTGGTATAATTTCAGAGAGATCCATACACTGTTCCACAAGTTATTGTCATGAAACTAGAAAAATGCTTATTTGGGCCCCTTTTTGGCCCCTAATTCCTAAACTGTTGGGACCATATCCCTTAAAATCAATCCCAACCTTCCTTTTGTGGTTATAAACCTTATGTTTAAATTTCATAGATTTCTATTCACTAGTACTAAAGTTATTGTCCGGAAACCAATGTGTCTTCGGACGATGACGATGTGATACCAATATACGACCGCAAGCGGTCGTATAAAAATGGGGAATGTGTCCCATGGACACAGATGATGCCCCCACCCCCCCCCTTGCATATAATGTTATAAAGGGACATCACTCAAATTTTACTTGATCTGAGTTTTGTGGTACATAAATGTGGATAGTGTCCACATGTGGACACAGCTGATGCCCCCGCTTGCATATCATATAGTTATAAAGGGACATAACTGAAAAACGGTAAAAGTGACGCTACCCAAATTTGAACTTGATCTGAGTTTTGTGGTAATAAGTATTGTGTGTACGTCTCATAACATTTGGTTGAGGATAACTTAAGTAGAAAACAGAAACCAAAAATTCAGCAATTTTTCTATTTGAAAACACGCATAACTCTAGAATGGTTGTGTATAAGTTTTATAACATTTGGTTGAGACAAACTAAAGTTAGAAAACTGAAACGAAAAATTCAGCATTTTTTATGTTTATAAAGGGACATAACTCAAGAATGGTAAAAGTGTCGCCACCAAATTTCGTACTTAATCTGTATTATGTAGTAATAGGCATTGCGTATAAGTTTCATAACATTTGGTTGAGGCAAAGTAAAGTAAGAAAACGGAAACAAAAAAATTGTACTTGATCTTAGTTTTGTGGTAATGAAAATTGTGTATAGGTTTCATAATGTTTGGTTGGGGCAAACTTAAGTTACAGAATGGAAACTAAAAATTTTGCAATCTTTCGATTTATAAAGGGGCATAACTCAATAATGGTTAAAGTGACACTACCCAAATTCAACTTGATCTGTGTTTTATCAGTGGAAGTCAAAATTAAAAATTGCATTGTATAAAGCATTGATTGTAGTTGATTAAACTATAATCATGGACAAAGGAAGATAACTCAAATTTTAAAAATTACTTGATATTTAGAAGAAAATAAAATTTTTGCAATTTTTCCATTTATAAAGGGGCATAACTCTAGAACAGTTAAAGTGACGCACCCAAAATTCAGACTTGATCTGTGTTTTGTGGTAATAAGCATTGTGTATAAGTTTCATAACATTTGGTTTAGGCAAACTTAAGTTAGAGAATGGAAACTAAAAATTTGCAATTTTCCATTTATAAAGGGGCATTACTCTAGAACAGTTAAAGTGACGCCACCAAAATTCAAAATCGATCTGTGTTCTGTGGTAAAAAGCATTGTGTATAAGTCTCATAACATTTGGTTGAGGCAAACTAAAAGTTAGAGAACAGAAACCAACTTTGGGACGTATGGACGGATGTACGTACAGACGGATAAGGGTAAAACTTAATGCCCCCTCCGCTACGACGGGGGCATAAAAATAAGCATTGTGTATACGTCTCATAAAATTTGGTCGAGGCAAACTTAAGTGAGAGAACAGAAACGAAAAATCCAGCAATTTTTCCATTTGTAAAGGGGCATAACTCTAGAACAGTAAAAGTGACGCCACCAAAATTCAAATCTTATCTGTGTTTTGTGGTAATAAGCATTGTGTATTATTTTCATAACATTTGGTTGAGGCAAACTAAAGTGAGAGAATGGAAACAAATTTAGCAATTTTTCCATTTGTAAAGGGGCATAACTCTTGAACTGTTATAGTGACACCACCAAAATTCAATCTTGATCTGTATTTGTGGTAATAGGCATTGTGTATAAGTTTCATAACATTTGGTAGAGGCAAACTAAAGTTAGAGAACGGAAACGAAAAATTCAGCAATTTTTCCATTTGTAAAGGGCATAACTCTAGAACGGTACAAGTGATGCCACCAAAATTCAAACTTGATCTGTGTTTTGTAGTAATAAGCATTGTGTATAAGTTTCGTAACATTTGGTTGAGGCAAACTAAAGTTAGAGAACGGAAACCAATTTTGGGACGTATGGATGGACGGACGGACGTACAGATGGACAAGGGTAAAACTTAATGCCCCCTCTGCTACGGCGGGGGCATAACAAAGAGCATGGCAGGGTGGATGTTGTGAAGACATTTAAATAAACTGTTATCACAGAGGTATGTCTCGCCTTTTTGTAATTTTGATAATGCAAATGTTGAAATTAAAATTGCAATACTTTAACATGTAAGTAATGCAAATATTCAAAGTCAATGAACCATGACTGAAGGTACATGGCTAAACAATCTCCATGGAATGAGATGTGCCAATGCTAATACAACTGCATACCAAATACCATTGACTTATTATAAGTCGTTCCCTTTAAACAAACCTAAACACAAACATTAACTTGTAAACTATGTAAAAGTTTCAAAGTCAATGAACCATGATCAGGGGTGGAGCTATATAATCTCCATGGAAACGATACTTGCAGATGCCAATAAATTTGCATACCAAATATCAATGACTTAACATTAGCAGTTCATCTTAAACTGATCTAATCACAAAATAATACATGTAAACTAATCAAAAGTTTCAAAGTAAATAGACCATGACTGAGGGGGTGGGGTCAAATATTCTCCATGGAAATGAGATGTGCTCATGCTTATACAACTGAACACCAATTAACATTGGCCTCTCACTAATGGTTCCCCTTGAACTGACCTAATCACAAACTAATACATGTAAACTTAGCAAAATTTTCAAAGTCTATAGACCGTGACTAAGGGGGCGGACGACAGCGACGCCAGAAACAGCATACCTATGTCCCTCTTTTTGACTCCGTCAAGGCGAGACAAAAAGAAATCAGACGTTTTTGCACCAAAGTATAACCTAATATAGTGCCAAATTTCTATCGACCCTGCATACCCGAGATATTCACTTCAGGGATACTACCGTAGTTCAGATTCACCGGACGTTAGTTCACTTATGTTTATATTTAGTTCACTAATGTTTATATTTAATCAATGTCCATTTTTGTGGCAGAAAATTAATCCATTGTCCACTCATTTATAATATAGATTATGGAATGAAATATTGTTATGTCAAAACAGAGCAATATTGGTCATTTTCATTAGAATCCACCTGTTTCTGGCATAAAGTATTACATGTTAGTTCCAGCTTGAAATTTAGATTCCAGTTACCATACATAATATAACAGGCTCTTAATGTACACCCCTGTACATTAATGATCATACAATTTAAGTTACAACTGTTCCTTCTTTTTATGTTGTTTTAATTTTCTTGACCTTTTTATAATTTGTCTATCCAATAACAGAATCATGCATAATTTGCAACCTTTTCCCTTGAACTCTTTTCACTCCATTTATTTCACTTTAACAAAACCAACTTTGGTATTTTTCAAACTTCAGTAAGATTTTTGCTAAAATAAGATACAGTTGAACAGCTTAATACAACACTAAAATGGGTGGGCTATTTTGTCAGCGCTAAAACGTCCATTAGTAATTTAAGATTTTTTGTTAGAATGTCCTGCATCCTTGTAGATTGTTGATAAGTGTTTGTGGTGGTGCCATATATACTGAGATATTAATGAAACTGTATAATTGATATCAAGGTTTTAACATAAATGGACAAATCAGATGTATATATTTTGAAGGTTGAGACAGTAATTATCACAAGTGCCACAGCTGGACCGTGGCTGGTCTGATAAACTTAAACTAGCCTAGATTATTTTCATGCAATTATTCTGTTTTTCCATACTGCCATTTAATACATTACTTTTGGTAATGTTTGATATTTTGTTCCAAGGAAGTATGGTGATATGGAGAATAGCTGAAAATGTTACCAATAGAAATAACAACTAGAGGCTCTAAAGAGCCTGTGTCGCTCACCTTGGTCTACGTGCATATTAAACAAAGGACACAGATGGATTCATGACAAAATTGTGTTTTGGTGATGGTGATGTGTTTGTAGATCTTACTTTACTGAACATTCTTGCCACTTATAATTATCTCTATCTATAATGAACTTGGCCCAGTAGTTACAGTGGAAAATATTTTGTAAAAATTTACAAAAATTTACAAAATTTATGAAAATTGTAAAAAATTGACTATAAAGAGCAATAACTCCTTAAGGGGTCAATTGACAATTTTGGTCATATTGACTTATTTGTAGATCTTACTTTGCTGTACATTATTGCTGTTTACAGTTTATCTCTATCTATAATAATATTCAAGATAACCAAAAGCTGCAAAATTTTCTTAAAATTACCAATTCAGGGTCAGCAACCCAACAACGTGTTGCCTGATTGGTCTGAAAATTTCAGGGCAGATAGATCTTGACCTAATGAACAATTTTTTCCTGTCAGATTTGCTCTAAATGCTTTGGTTTCAGAGATATGAGCCAATAAAATGCTCCGCTGGGGCGCAGCTTGATACGACCGCAAAGGTCGAACCCTGAACAGTTGGGGCAAGTATGGACACAACATTCAAGCTTGATACAGCACTGAATTTGGATTGCAATTAAATATTTGACACAGCATAGGTTTCTGACACAGAATGAAAGTGGTCTAAGAACTTAAAAAAATTTAATTTACCTATTCAAACCATATCATTATTATTTGCTTTTATATATAAATCAGAAATAACCAATTTAAAATGGAAAATTTTAAAGAAAAAAAAGGAAAAAAAAATCCCCCCCCCCCCAAATTTTTTGAACCCCCTTATGATTCATCACGCCCAAACTCAATCCCAGCCTTCCCTTTGTGGTATGGTACCTTGCAGTACAATTTCAGAGAGATCCATACACTTGAACACAAGTTATTGTCTGGAAACTAGAAAAATGCTTGTTTTTTGGCCCCTTTTTGGCCCCTTATTCCTAAACTTTTTGGGCAATTACCTCGAAACTCAATTCCAGCTTTCCCTTTGTGATATGGAACCTTGTAGTACAATTTCATAAAGATCCATACACTTACACACAAGTTATTGTCATGAAACTAGAAAAATGCTTGTTTTTTGCCCCTTTTTGGCCCCTAATTCCTAAAATTTGGAGGCAATTACCCCCAAAATCAATCCCAGCATTCCCTTTGTGATATGGAACCTTGTGCCACAATGTGGTACAATGTCAGAGAGATCCATACACTTACACACAAGTTATGTCTGGAAGTTACAAAAATGCTTATTTTTGGCCCCTAATTCCTTAACTGTTGGTACCATAACCCCCAAAATCAATCCCCACCTTCCTTTTGTGGTATTGAACCTTATGGTAAAATTTCATTGAGATCCAATCACTTAAACTAAAGTTAGAGTGCGAAAACTAATGTGACTTCGGATGACGACGACGATGCCAACGTCATACCAATATACGACCACAAAAATTTTTTTGCGGTCATATAAAAGGTGCGGACAATGATGGAGTAGTACTTCTTTATATGAAAAGATTAAATTAAATGTATTACTATTATTTATACACCGGAAATGGTACATTATGGTGTCATTACCAATCAATTACACTGTCTGAAAATTTGATACATATATTTATTTAATTTCACTTATATTAACGTTTTTTACTCTGTTGAAAAATAAACATGTAGAATATAATTTATGTTATTTGTGACCTCTTTCTTGAAACAAAAAAAACCACAATGTTATCTTTCATCAAAATGGGAGGTGTTTTAAATCCTGGAGAGCTAAATTTGCAGAAAAAAACCTGAAAAAAATCTGCATTTGTACAAATATTCTTATACAAACATTACCCTCCTTAAACTGGTAAAAGCCAAACTGATTTATAATTACTCTAATTTTAAGAAGTCAAGTAAATTTATCCATTACTTATACTTATCAAAGGGCAATGAATGACCCAATTGAACTCTGTAAAAATAATAAATCAATAAAAATAACCTTGTGATTGAAAGCTTCTGGTTAAAAAGATACCCTTTTTTGTTTTACAAATTAATCAATTTGAATTTTCCTTCCAGTCACAACTTGAACTGGACAAAAGGAGACAACTCTGGTTCTCTGACTATATCAGGATATTCAATGTATTTTTTTTTTATAATTTTAGTAAAAAATTTCCCTATTTATAGCTTAGTAAGAAAGCAATTTTGAAACTTCACAGGAAGCTTTATGAAAAACATTTTAGTTTTGATTCATGGATTATTTTGTAATTGTATTGTTTTGTAAACTTAGATAACAAAGAAAAGTCTTCTGACATCGGAAACAATCTTTTAATCAGAACATAGTTAAGATGATAGCTACATCCAGTGTCAGACTGCTGTCATAGGAAGGATATTCAATATATCCAAAAAGATTATAGTGTAGTATAGGGCATTCTCCAAAGACTTCTGCTGAAAAAATTTGTGTGAATATGTGATTGTGGTAAATTTTGTTCTCACAGATTTTTTACAGCCAAATAAATCAATGGCTTTCTCTGGTCATATAAAAGTGATCTAGGTGAGCTTTAGCCAAATCTGGTAATAAATTCTTAGCAATCTTAAAATAGAATGCTCTGCAGGGTACAGCTTTGTACGACCGCAGAGGTCAAACCCTGAATAGTTGGGGCAAGTATGGACACAACATTTAAGCTTCATATCGCTCTGAATTTGGATTGTGATTAAATATTTGACACAGCATAGGTTTCTGACACAGAATGAATGTGGTCTCAGAACTTCAAGTTTGAAATTGGACATTTACCTATTCTAGTCCAATATCCAAAATCTTAATACATGGTTAGATTCAGCATATTATAGAAACCCAAGAATTCAAATTTTTGATGAAATCAAACAAAGTTTAATTTTGGACCCTTTGAACCTTAATGTGGACCAATTTGTTAACAGGCTCAAATATCAAAATCGAAATACAGAGGTAGATTCAGCATATCAAAGAACCCCATATATTCAATTTTTGTCGAAATCAAACAAAGTTTAATATTGGACCTTTTGGCCTTAAAGTTGACCAATTTGGAAACAGGGCCCAAAATTAAAAATCTAAATACATGGTTAGATTCCACATATCAAATTAAACCCCATTGAATTGGTCAAGAAATAAGCAATTTATAAAAAGTATTAGAAAAGTATTGTTTTTGGCCTTTTTTCCTAAACCCAATATCAATCCCAACCTTCTTTTTGGGTATGGAACATTGTGGTACAATTTCGTATAGATCCATAGACTAATACTCAACTTATTGTCCAGAAACCTGAAAATTGAAAATCCTTGTTTTTTGGCCCTTATTCCTAAATGGTTTAGGCCATAACTCCCAAAATCAATCCCAACCTTCCTTTTGAGGTATGGAAACTTGTGGTACAATTTTATAGAGATCCATACACTTATACAAAAGTTATTGTCCTGAAACAAGAAAAAATGCTTGTTTTTGGCCCCTAATTCCTAAACAGTTAGGACAATAACCCCCAAAATAAATCAAAAGCTTCATTTTATGCGTTATTGTCTAGAAACTAAATGTCTTGGGACGATGATGACGATGACAGTCACAATGTCATACCATTATACGACGGCAAAAATTTTGTGGTCATTTAAAAGTTTATGTCAGTCATCATTTAACCTGTTGAAAAATGATTTTTGTGGGCTGGATCACTCAACGAAATGTTTATTCCTAGTGGCTTCCTTGTTTCACTTTTCAATGTTCACATTCTTTTCTTTTTAAATGAGAAACATGATGAACACATCTCTAAAGGTGAAATTAAAAAATTGCATGAATACGGATTCAAATGAGTTTAATCATTGACTTGAAAGTGAGTTTAATTATACACCAATGATTTGATTTTTTTTTTAAGCTTATTGTGACGAAATTGAACCAAACTGACCGCTAATAGCAAAAAATATTTTTTTATTCTGCTTTTACAAATGTTTGAAACAAAATAAATCACACTGAATTTTTTTTTTGTCGAATTTGTAGCTAATGAATGCCCCTTTAAACAGGCATGTTTACCTTGCAATGATTCCATACCAAAAATAGATGACATATTTATCCTAAAGTTTTGAACATGCACATACTTAATCATCAGCCAAGAGACTAAGACTTCACCAGTCAACTTACAGGGCAATTACCTGTACTTGACTACTTACACAACATGCATTTTTGTCTTGCTAATTGATGTATGTTTAACCTTTAATATACATGTCTAGCATTTTTCTTCATACAATATCTTGTACTTCTGTTCATTTTTCTGAAGGTAATTAATTACTAAACTAAAAAAGTAGGTTATTTAAAGCTTATGATATTATAGATCCTTGTTGGAGACAATAGCCAATAAAATATGTGGAATATTGCTATTCAAATTAATAGTCAAGTAAATCCAGTTTTCCTTACATTTATTCATTTCATTGTTAAAACAAACATGGGCATTAACTCCTGAATAGAAAAATTACAAATCTATAAAATCAAACTTCAACTCCATTTTTGTCATTGTAAACATTGAACACTAAAATGTGAAAAGAATTAGTAGAATGGTTCTCAAGTTACCATATGGAAACAACATAAAGCTCCATTTTTCAATAAATCAAAGACATAACTTTTGAACAGTAAAAGTAATAAACTGCTTCACCGAGCGCAGCTGGATACAACCACAGAGGTCCAACCCTGAACAGTTGAGGCAAAAATGGACACAATATTTAAGCTTGATACAGGTCTGAATTTGATTGTAATTAAATATTTGACACATAATAGGTTTCTAACACGGAATAAATGTAGTCAAAGAACTTGAACTTGGTTGTATGATTTGAATTTATATTCAATTGAAGATTTCTTGCTGTTGTGCAATACTTAGTAAATCTGTTTTCAGACTATATACAAAGAATTAACAAAATAAATTGTGACCCCCAATTTTTTTCTTTGGAAAATAGACAATTTCTTAAATCTTGAGGAAAAAAAAATTGACCACCCCCCTTTCCAAATTTTTTTTTTGTTTACCCCCCCCCCCCCCCCCCCCCCCCCCTGGAAAATCCCCCTTTTTGTAACGAATAAAACCCCATAAATCAGAAACGTATATTCTAAAATTTATAAAAATCAAAAGGGAGCTCATGTCGATAGCATTAAACATTTCACCAAAGTTTCTTGCAAATTGGTGAAATTGTTTTTGAGTTATTGTCCAAAAACTGGAAAATCCCGCCTTTTTTAATGAATAAAACTCCAAAATTCGGAAACGGTAAATCAGAAATTTATAAAAAACGAAAGGGAGCTCACGTCAATAGATATAAACAATTCACCAAAGTTTCATGCATATTGGTAAAAGCGTTTTTGAGTTAATGTCCGACATGTTGACGACGGACGGACGGACGGTCAATGGTATACCATAATACGTCCCGTAAACGGGCGTGTAAAAAATAAGTTATGATCTACACTACAGCCTCCTAAAGCCTGTATTGCTCACCTGACTTTTTTCATAAATTGATACAATTCAATAAGAATATTAGATATTTACTGGCAAAAAATAAACAAATGGGTAAAAATTGTTCTTCAAAAGCATTTATTCTGATGAAGAGTTGAATGACAATAAAACTTAAAAAGCCCTTGATTTATTAGTAGATCATGTCATGTCTATTATTTTTACTTTCAGCATCTCATCTACCTGTTTTAGTTTTGTCAACAAACAAACTAAAATGGTAGAAATCATCTTTCAAGGGCAAAAACCTTTATAAGAAGTCTATTGACAATTCAGCCATGTTGAATTATTCAAAATCTATCCTCAATGATCTTTTTTTGCTGTAAACACTTTCTCTTTATTAACAAAAAAACAAAAAAAATGTAAAAATCATCTTTCAAGGGGAGTAACTCCTATAAGGAAATGAATGACAACTTTGGCCATGTTGAATTCTCTATAGATCTTATCCTGCTGATATATTTTCTGTTCACATTTTCTATGTATCTACTACAGCTTCACTAAATAAAATGCTTCGCTGGGGCGCAGCTTGATACGACCGCAGAGGTCGAACCCTGAACAGTTGGGGCAAGTATGGACACAAAATTCAAGCTTGATACAGCTATGACTTTGGATTGTCATTAAATATTTGACACAGCATAGGTTTCTGACACAGGATGAATGTGGTGTAAGAACTGGAAAAAATTTAATTTACCTATTATGGTGGAATATCCATAAACTAAATTGTTTGTTAATTTCAATATATCAAAGAATATGTAGAATTCAATGTTTGATGTAATGTAATAAAGTTGAAATTTGGACCGTTTTTGTTCAATGTGGACCAATTTGGTAACATGTATAAATAACCAAAAATCTAAATACATGGGAGCCCATTTAAATACATCATAAAGGTATTAAAATAGAAAGTGACATCATAGTCATGGCTAAAAATAAACAAAAATCCTTAATCAGCAACATTTAAAGTAATATCTAAAAATAAAATTCCTTTGTAACCATAAAAGCCCATTTAAATACATCATAAAGATATTAAAATAGAAAATGACATCATAGTCATGGCTAAACATAGCAAAAAACCCTTAATCAGCATCATTTAACAGTAATATCTAAAAATGGAAATTACATCATAAAGGTATTAAAATAGAAAATGACATCATAGTCATGGCTAAAAATAAACAAAATCCGTAATCAGCATCAGCAACATTTTATAGTAATATCTAAAAATAAAATTCCTTTGTAACCATAAAAGCCCATTTAAATACATCATAACAGATATTAAAATAGAAAATGACATCATAGTCATGGCTAAACATAGCAAAAACCTTAATCAGCATCATTTAACAGTAATATCTAAAAATAAAAATTTCTTTGCAACCATAAAAGTAAAATAGAAAATGACATCATAATCATAGCTAAAAATAAACAAAAATTTTTTTTATTGGCAAATTTTAAATGGAGTTTATTATACTAAAACAATAAATTTGCAACCATAAACATGATAAAACCCCATTTAAACACATCATAAAAGTATTAAATAATTCAACTACATCATAAGGCTATAAAAATAGAAAATGACTTCATAGTCAAGGCTAAAGGTAAACAAAAAACCTTCATCAGCAAAATTTTATATTGGCAAATTTCCAATGAAGTTTATTACACTAAAATTGTTGGCAAATTTCCAATGCATTTATGAACAATAAAGTTATTGGCAAATTTCCAATTTACATAATTTAAAAGCAGTGTAGATGAGATATTTAAATGAGTTTGAATTACCAACCTTACACTGCTTTTAAATAATGTTCTTCACTCAATTATTTGTCTATTAAAATGGAAACCCTTGTTTTTTAACCTTTTTTCCCCTTATTCCTTAAACATTAGAGCCATAACCACCCCCCCCCCCCCCAAAGCCAATTATTACTTTCCAATGTAACCTAAATTTCCAATATACATAATTTTAAATTTCAGTTCCTCATGATATATAACCGTATCATTATTATTTTCTTTCATATATAAATCTGAAACAACCATCTTTAAATGGAAAATTTTAAAGAAAAAAAAAGGAAAAAAAAAAATCCTACCCCCCACACATTTTTTCAACCCCCTTTTGATTCATCATCCCCCACCTCAATCACAACCTTCAATTTGTGGTATGGTACATTGCAATACAATTTCACAGAGATCCATACACTTGAACACAAGTTTTTGTTGCAAACTAAAAAAATCCTTATTTTCGACCAATATTTGGCCCCTTATTCATAAATGTTTGAGCAATTAACCCCAAAACTCAATTCCTACTTTCTCTTCGTGATAAAAAATAACTAACTTAAAATGTAAATTTTAAACAAAAAAAAAATGAAAAAAAAAAAATTACCCCTTTTTTGACCCCGCCCCCCTTATGATTCATCACCCCCACCCCCCTTTCCCCCCAAACCAAGCTCAATAACAGCCTTGCCTTTGTGGTATGGTACCTTGTAATACAATTTTAGAGAGATCCATACACTTGAACACAAGTTATTGTCTAGAAACTAAAAAATGCTTATTTTAAACCCCTTTTTAGGCCCCTTATTACTAAACGTTTTGGGCAATTACCACAACACTCAATTCCAGCTTTCCCTTTGTGAAATGGAACCTTGTAGTAAAATTTCAGAAAGATCCATACACTTACACACAAGTTATTGTCATGAAACTAGAAAAATGCTTGTTTTTTGCCCCCTTTTGGCCCCTTATTCCTAAAATTTTGAGGCAATTAACCCCAAAATCAATCCCAGCATTGACCCTTAGTGATATGGAATCTTGTGGTACAATGTCAAAGAGATCCATATGCTAACACACAAGTTATGTCTGGAAGTTACAAAAATGCTTATTTTCGGCCCCTTTTTGGCCCCTAATTCCTTAACTGTTGGTACCATAACCCCTAAAATCAATCCCCACCTTCCTATTGTGGTATTGAACCTTATGGTAAAATTTCATAGAGATCCATTCACTTAAACTAAAGTTAGAGTGCGAAAACCATTGTGTATTCGGACGACGACGCCGGACGACGACGACGACGACGACGACGACGACGACGACGACGACGACGCCAACGTCATACCAATATACGACCTCAAAATTTTTTTGCGGTCGTATAAAAACCACAATAAACTGTTGGCACAAAAATATGTCATGTCTAAATGCAGTTTTGATAGTAAAATTCAAATGTTGATATTAAAATGGCATTACTTTAACATGTAAACTAAGAAAAGACCCAATATCAATGAACTGAAGGTTCTGAACCAATGCTTAAAATGTGATATGCTATAAAAATTTACATTTTTCCAATTTTCAAAGTATGGCTTCTTCAGATAAATTCTACCTCACAACCCTGTTTATCCACTCAAAGATATTTAAATGTTTAACAGGGTAAAATGAAATTAAAGTGACACCACCAAAATTCAAACTTGATCTTTATTTTGTGGTAATAAGCATTGTGTATAAGTTTCATTACATTTGATTGAGGCAACTTAAAGTTAGAGGACAGAAACGAAAAATTCAGCAATTTTTCCATTTGTAAAGGTGCATTACTCTAGAACGGTTAAAGTGACACCACCAAATTCAAACTTGATCTTTGTTTTGTGGTAATAAGCATTGTGTATAAGTTTCATAACATTTGGTTGAGGCAAACTTAAGTTAGAGAATGGAAAGGAAAAATTCAGCAATTTTTCCATTTGTAAAGGGGCATAACTCTAGAACGGTCAAAGTGATGCCTCCAAAATTCAAACTTGATCTGTGTTTTGCGGTAATAAGCATTGTGTATAAGTTTTATAACATTTGGTTCAGGCAAACTAAAGTTAGAGAACGGAAACCAACTATGGGACGTACGTACGGACAAGGGTAAAACTTAATGCCCCCTCTGCTACCGCGGGGGCATAAAAAAAATGTGTAAGGCAATGCTCTGAATGGATATCTTATCAACCCCTAGTCTATCAAAATTGATGAAACTGGTGCATACAGAAGTAGAGAAATATATGTTCAAAATTAATGCTGTTACATTTTAAGGTGTGACTAAAAATTGGTAAAATTGCTCACAATAGCAATAAACTGCTTCACCAAAGTTTTATGCAAATTGGTTAAAGCGTTTTTGAGTAAATGTCCGACATGTTGACGACGGACGGACAGACGGACGGACGGACAGACGGACGGACGGACATACGGACAGAGGTATACCATAATACGTCCTGTAAACGGGCGTATAAAAATCAGATATGTCAATATACATTACAACCCATTTAAACGTATGAAATGTAAATTTTGTTTAAATAAACAAACATCCCACATCTATTATAAAACTTACTCCCACATTTCTACGTATGAAATACAAGAAGGTAAAAAATTCACCTCACCTTCAATTAAACGTAAACCTAACATCCTAGCCCTAATCCATCAGAATTTGTAACTTGTACTTAACATTTTGTATATTTTTTGGTCATAAAAGTTAAATATATCATCCATAGCTTTGTAAATGATAATACAGGACAACAGTTACAAATGTGATTACGCTCTGGTAAATAAAACATCAATAAAAAAAGAAAAAGAAATGAAAACATGAAAATTGCAACACCAAGACCTAGAACTGCAATAAATAACAAGTTAGAACTGTCAGCTCACTTATGATAACATATAGCGAGTTATTTTTGCTTATTTTGGCAGATAAAGGAAAATCGTGAAAATACATTCTTCGAAAATTTATTCATACGTTCAGTACTTTCTAATAGCTAAAGCGTTTTTTTACCGGTCGATGGGTCAATTGATGTAATAAGGTTACCGGTCGATGGGTCAATTGATGTAATAAGGTTTATGTTAGTTTAAACAACATGAATGCAAAAGGACATTATTCACATATATTTTATAAAAGGGCTGTCAGGTGTTAATTAGTGTCATATAATATAAGAGTGCAAGGTACTCGGTCAGGTATATACCCTTACTAATTAGTGTCAAATTATATTAGAGTTGCAAGTCACTCTTGATAATTTTATAACCTAATTAGTACATCAGAGGTCTGGTCAATTTCGTAACTAGTCAACCGTAACTTTGACAAGAAGTTTTTACACCTGTGACAAATATGTAAGTACCAGTATTCTATTGATAACTGTATCAAAATATAATCAATTAATAAAATGTCATACAGGTAAAACAATCAACCATAACAATAGACACTTATTTTTTAATTTTTACAACTTTTTAACTGCATCCATTTAAGTATCCGTAAAAATATTTAATTGGGATTAAAGAATCCGCCAAAATAAAAACCGCCAACATTTTTCGTATACTTTGTTGCCCCTAAATCGCGAAATTTTACACCGGTGAAAATATCCCGCTATACGGTACATCCCATTTTAAGTATTTTTTAAACAGGAAGTTGATGAGTGATGGATGTAAAACACTTATCACACTTTATAGCATGCTCACATATCATGAAGGTTGATTCCAAATTTAAGAAAGCCTTGATTTGTAGTTCCTGAGATAAGAATGATAAAAATTCATATATGACCATTACAGTTCTGAGTTTACAGGAAGTTGGTGAGAGATGAATATAAAAATGCATCACACAATTAAGCATGCTCACATGAAGCTTCATACCAAATTAAAGGAAGTTCAATTTTGTACTTCTGAGAAAAATGCAACCATAATTTTATGGAATGATGGGACAGACAAATGCAAACAGGGACAGACAGACATAAACCAGTTTACACCCCTCCTTTGGAGCATGTTATAATAATCATTTAAATACACTGTTGAAACAGTAATATTTCTCCTCACTGTTTAAATCATGAACTGTTGACACAGAGATATGTCTCGCCTATCAGCATAAAATTCAGAAAAAGACAATCTGAAGGACAGCAACATTGCTTATTAATTCAGTCACTGGACCATGATCTAGTGGGCAGGGCCTGAAAATGGTCGACAAACTGATATGTACAGACAGTAATGTAACTTTATAGAAAATATCGTTGTTTATTGCAAGTAGTTCCTAACAATATAACTTAAGCAGAAAAACTTAACATTGGAAATTGCTAATGAATTCAAAGTCACTGGCCCATGTCCTAGGGGGCAGGGCCTCAAAATACTCGTCAAACTGATATGAACTGATAGTAATGGAACTTCACACAAAATATCATTGATCTATCACAAGTACTTCTTATCAAACTGACTTAAGCAGAAAAACTTAACATTGAAAATTGCTAATTAATTCAAAGTCACTGGATCATGACCTAGGGATGCAGGGCCTCGAAATAGTTATCAAACTGATATGAACTGATAGTAATGCAACTTCATACAAAACATCATTGATCTATCACAAGTAGATCCTATCAAACTAACTAAAGCAGAAAATTTAACATTGAAAATTGCTAATTAATTCAAAGTCACTGGACCATGTCCTAGGGAGCAGGGCCTCAAAATACTCATCAAACTGACGTGTACTCATAGTAATGCCACTTCATAAAAAATATCATTGATCTATCACATGTAAATCCTATCAAACTAACTTAAGCAGAAAACTTAACATTGAAAATTGCTAATTAATTCAAAGTCACTGGACCATGTCCTAGGGCACATGGCCTCAAAATAGTCATGAATCTGACATGTACTGGTAGAAATGCAACTTTATAATAAATATCAATCATCGTTGTTGCCGGATAAGCAATCCCTATGTCTCGCTTAGGCGAGGCATAAATGGCAACACTTTAACATGTAAACTTTGGAAAACTTTTTCAGCCAATTGACTATGACTGAAATGGCTTAATAATCCCAATGGAAATGAGATTTACCAATGCTAATACAACTTAATACCAAATATCATTGACTTATCATAAGTGGTTCCCCTTGAACTAAACATATCACAAACTTTTACAAGTAAAACATGGAAAATAAGCCAAATTTTAAAGTCAATAGACCATTACTTAGGGGTGGTGCCAAATAATCCACATGATGTGCCAATGCTAATATAAATGCATATCAAATATCATGGACTTACCTAAGGATGCAAGTTTTCTACAGAGACATTTGACTAACTTCTGCTTATATGCCTTCTGAATGTTCCATTTTATTCTGGCAGCAATTTCAATATGCACATGGTGGGCATATCATGTGCTATTGGCACTGCTGATAATTTCAGAAGAAATCAATTAGTTTCGTTATGTAGTGAGAAGAAAGCCTCAAAGACAAAATAAGTATAATGTTGTGCAGCTTCAAATAATAATATTTGACTGGTCTTATGCATAATGAAATGTCCAAAGTTAGGTGAGGCATAAACAAACTGAAACAGGAAGTGAAGGGGCTAATACAGCTTTTTCAGTATTGGACCAGGTCAAAAACCAATACCAACCTATGATTTATATCAAAAGGGCAACGTCATCAGTATTGCACAAGCTGGTTTAAAAAACTTACTATTTAGGGTGAAAAATACCATATTTACTGTGACTTTACATGCACTCTATACATTATAGATCTATTTCACATATTTTTAATTGATTTATCTCTGGAAGTATCAGACATGTGACAGAGTTGTCAAGCCACAACTGGAGATTTGGAAATTTTCAGCTGGAGTTTGGGCTTCATAACTGGAGATTTTTTATCGACCTATTTATCGACGTACGCAATGGTTTTTTGTGTGTTTAAACTGCATATCTTCTTTTTTGTTTGTTAAAAGAACAATAATTCCATACCTTTCAACAACTCCATATCTATTTTTACTTGATAAAAATAGAAGATAAGGGGTTTCAAATATTTATTCATTATATATAATTCAAGATAAAGCGATCAGCCATCATACAGAGTTGGCAAAAAGTACCCCTGATTCAGCTACATTGTCAACTTTGGTACTACTACTGAACATGCTTGTAACAGAAGGTGTTAATTGATAGAGTTGTAGGCTTGCTGGTGGGTAGCTGTCCCCATAAGTTTGGTCAAATCATAAGGGCCACCACAGTCAGCTTTGTATGAAGTGTAGTAAGCATGGTCTTGACCCTTGGTACTGGATCTGCATCATTTGAAATCAGATCTCCAGGCAGAGTTGAATTTGGCTAGATACTTGGTCTTCTTTTATTTGCTGCTGGGGTATTTGGTGATATAAAAATACGGTTTGCATTTTGTCAAATTCTAAAATTTTAGAATAATCCAAGACAACTGTACTTATATAGGTATTCCATTGGCTTGGATAGAAAACAAGCCATAAATATCATATTTGAGTTGATTTCATTTGTCTTTGAGGTTCAGTAAACGTTCCATGTTTTCAACAGCATCAAATTAAATTGTTGTTTATACAACTTGTACAATTTAATCCTTTGTCAGTATTTCACTTTTAATCAACCTTGCTTGTGTCTTAAACTAGCTAGTTGATCACTAGGTAATTGCCTATTATCTTTTATTTATTGTTGTATATACAGTTTAATCCTAAACACCTCAGGCTAATTTTACCTATTTTAACTTTTGACACAAAATCCATTACAGGAAACTTCCGTTTTTCTCGGACTTTTCCCATATCAATTTCGAGTTTCTCGGCCTTTTTCTCTGTCCGTATCGATTTTGTAAACAAAAATGTCTAATGAAAATTTTACGAGGTTGACATTTTCAAAAAGCGGAAGATTTCAAATTTTAACGGGAGGGACGGAAGAGGGTCTGAAATGCGGGAGATTTTGACTCCCGCCGGAAGAATCACATGTATGAAGTATAAATGCTACATATATTATTTTTTTTGGTATTCTAATGTAGTTCAACCAGATCTAAATGATTAAAAAAATACAGAAAAATCTAAAATATTTCCTATTTACATATACTTCATCATAATCTATGAAGAATATTGTTCTTATATCAGATGATAATAGATGTATGTGGGTACTTGATTTATTGATAAAAAGCTGAACAAGATTCAATAATAAGAAAATTATCTTGACTGCACTTTACCTTACACAGCAGGCTAAAATAATTTCCATAAAAACTGACATGCATTTTTTAATGCAATATGAAAATATCAAATTTAAATTTAATTGATTTTATCCCACGTGCAGTAAAAGGCTTAAATCAAATATGATATGGTTAAATTTCAATGGCTTTCATAAAGAACTACAAACACTCCTCAAGATTGTATTTCCCAATAAACCATAATGTATAAATCAGGATCATATGTACTGGGAATTCCTTATTTTTCTATGAATGAATTAAGAGGCCAACATTAACATTGCCAGGAATATTGCATGGGAAGTCCTGTATGAAAATTCTCCCTGTATTTCAATTGGTTAAGAAACATAGACTTCAGAGGCAATATTTATTTTCTGTATTGGTCAATTTTCAATTGAATGTTTCTAAGATACTGCAAGCCAAGATCTTTTTAAACTTAATTTAATAAGTTTGATTCCTGCACATTATTTGAACAATGAGGTTGTGAATTCAAACCCTGCTCATGACAAGGTGTGTTTGACTCCCAAATGTAATTGACTAAATTGCCAGTTTACCTGCCAAAGGTTGTTCAAAAGCCATTTTCTTTATCTATTCTTTCTTTTTTAGTTTCTCCCGTGCCCTCATTTGTCATTGAAACTATAATGAAGCCTCCAATAATTTACTATTATATATCTCATTGTTTGGGTTCATTTCACCTCATCCTCAAACTTCTTTTGTCTCTTTTTTACAAATTTCCAGAACTTAATTCTTCCTCCTCATTATACTGAGCAAAGTTCTGTTGCACAAGTTTTCACCTGAATTAACTCCAATCATATGACCAAAAAGAACTGAAATCCCATCAATACTGATATGTGTACAGGGGTGGAAAATTCATCATACCAATATGTTGTATAAACACTTTTATTGGTTATATTAAAATGTAAGAATGGCAGATGTCTTTTGTTTCTGCTGGATGTGTAAAGTGAAATAAAACGTATGAAATATTTAAGATTTTTAGCATGGTTTGAGAAAGTCTTTTAAAAGTAATAAATAAAATCTCCTTGACTTCTCAGCTTATATTAAACGAGCAATTATTGATACAAAAGTGATTTATAGAAAGAAACATGTTACAATGTATTCAAGAAAACCTTCTATAGAAGTAGTCCTTAAACATATAGAGGTGGTCATTCCCTTTCAGTAATATTGACAACCTCAACCAACGAGTATAGTTATTTCTGACAAATAAGGAGATGTGATATAGTTGCCATTGAGGCAAATATACCAACCTGTCCAAATAAAGCCAATTTATCATTTATCTTGTTTAAGAGGAATCTTCCAAAAAAAATATTGGTGTTTTGAAATTATCTGATTTAGGAGAATTTAAAAAAAATAAATATTGGTGTTTTGTAAAACTACAAGTTAATTTCAAAAGAATCATTTAAACTTTTAAAAGAAACAAAGAGTGCAAACACAGAAATGTCTTCCCTAGGTATAACATAAACTTAAAATGATCAACGATTCATGAAAAGAGGTCATGGTCGGATAAAAACTGTCAAATGGAAATGTACTCCTTCAATCATTCTATATAGCCATTACACTGCCAATTTATCATCTGCCATGTCGTGCATTCTCTGTCGAGCGATTTTAAAAGAGTACGGCCCTGATGTAAATGGCAGATATTGAGAAAATATATCTTTACAATACTTCCAGCAATACACATGGAATCTTTCCTAAAATATCATTATAGGTATCAAAAATACTTTTATATATACAAGAGTGCACACGCTGAAATGTCTCGCCTTCTTTACTAACTATTGATTTTATGTTGATAGTCCTAAATACAAAGTTTTACTACACATAACACATAAACTTAACATGATCCAAGAAAATGAGGTCAAGGTCAGATAAACCAAACGAGAAATACATGTACACCTTACAATCATTCAATAAACCAAACATAGTTGACCTATTGCTTATTGTTTCTAAGAAACAGTCTTAAACAAGAAAACTTAATATTGACCAATGAACCATGAAAATGAGGTCAAGGTCAGATGATACCTGCCAGACAGACATATACACCTTACAATCCTTCCATACATCAAATATAGATGATCTATTGCTTATAGTTGAAGAAAAACAGACCAAAACACAAAAACTTAACATTGAGAAATGAACCGTGAAAATGAGGTCAAGGTCAAATAAAACCTGTGAGACTGACATGTACATCATAAAATATTTCCATACACCATTTATAGTTGACCTATTGCATATAGTATTAGAAAAAAAGACCAAAACTCAAAAACTTAACTTTGACCACTGAACCATGAAAATGAGGTCAAGGCCAGATGACACCTACCAGTTGGGCATGTACACCTTACAATCATTCCATATACCAAATATAGTAGACCTACTGCTTATAGTATCTGATATATGGACTTGACCACGAAAACTTAACCTTGTTCACTGATCCATGAAATGAGGTCGAGGTCAAATGAAAATTGTCTGACGGGCATGAGGACCTTGCAAGGTACGCGCATACTAAATATAGTTATCCTATTACTCATAATAAGAAAGAAATTAGCATTACAAAAAAAATGTTGACTTTTTTTTCAAGTAGTCACTGAACCATGAAAATGAGGTCAAGGACAAATGGACATACGACAGACTGAAACTCGTAACATAAGGCATCTATATACAAAGTATGAAGCATCCAGGTCTTCTAGCTTCTAAAATATAAAGCTTTTAAGAAGTTAGCTAACGCCGCTGCCGCCGGATCACTATCCCTATGTCGAGCTTTCTGCGACAAAAGTCGCAGGCTCGACAAAAACCAGAAGATATGGTATGATTACCAATGACACAACTATCAACCAAAAAACAAGTAATGTAAGCATATCCTTCCAATAACTTTAATATTTGTCAACAAGTTTATTAAGTCAAAGGACAATCATTAGAATTGTTTGATTTGTTAAAGACACTAACAGAAAATATGGTGTGTGAATGTGCATAATGCTACAAAGGTGTAGGAATCCTGATTCAATAATAAGTATAACTGTTGATTAATTTTTCATATCAAAAATCCTTGATTTAAATGATTTTTTTTTTATTATTATAGAATGCAAGACATTTATCAATTCAGACACATGTAAAGTCTGTTTATTTCTGTCTTGTAAAACAGAAGATGTCTTCCTGATAGATTTCATATAAAGTCATTAACCATCACACCATTACCATAAAGTCGTTATGGATGGGGAAACAAGAGCTGAACGGATCACTAAAATTGTAACAATAAACAAACCATTTTTAATTATTTCATACTTTTTCAAAGTCAGGTATCCAAAACAAACCTGTCTCAAATCATAAAGTCAATCCTCCCTGAAACAAATCCTGCTTTCATGTAAAATATGTCTTAAACATCACTAATATCATAAACTGCTCTGTAATACCATTGAAACATTGACACCCTTAGTCAATTATCTACAAATGATCAGCTCTCCATTATCAACCATTACAACATAATTCTCAAACATACTGAATCAAATCAAACCACACACCCCTTCATTAGCCCTCATTACAAACCATAACATACTGAATCAAATCAAACCCCACACTCCACTTTCACTAGACCTCATTACAAACCATAACATACTGAATCAAATCAAACACCACACTCCCCCATCACTCGACCTCATTATAAACCATAACATACTGAATCAAATCAAACCCTGAACTTCTCCTTCACTAGACCTCATTACAAGCCATAACATACTGAATCAAATCAAACCCCACACTCCTCCTTCACTAGACCTCATTACAAACCATAACATACTGAATCAAATCAAACCCCACACTCCTCCTTCACTAGACCTCATTACAAACCACAACATACTGAATCAAATCAAATCACTAACCCCTTCACTAGACCTCATTACCTCCCCCTTCACTAGACCTCATTACAATCCATAACATACTGAATCAAATCAAACCCCACACTCCTCCTTCACTCAACCTCATTACAATCCATAACATACTGAATCAAATCAAACCCCACACTCCTCCTTCACTAGACCTCATTACAAACCATAACATACTGAATCAAATCAAACCCCACACTCCTCCTTCACTAGACCTCATTACAAACCATAACATACTGAATCAAATCAAACCACTAACCCCTTCACTAGACCTCATTACCTCCCCCTTCACTAGACCTCATTACAATCCATAACATACTGAATCAAATCAAACCCCACACTCCTCCTTCACTAGACCTCATTACAATCCATAACATACTGAATCAAATCAAACCCCACACTCCCCCTTCACTAGACCTCATTACAAACCACAACATACTGAATCAAATCAAAGCACTAACCCCTTCACTAGACCTCATTACCTCCCCCTTCATTAGACCTCATTACAATCCATAACATACTGAATCAAATCAAACCCCACACTCCTCCTTCACTAGACCTCATTACAAACCATAACATACTGAATCAAATCAAACCCCACACTCCTCCTTCACTAGACCTCATTACAAACCATAACATACTGAATCAAATCAAACCCCACACTCCTCCTTCACTAGACCTCATTACAAACCATAACATACTGAATCAAATCAAACCCTAACCCCTTCACTAGACCTCATTACCTCTCCCTTCACTAGACCTCATTACAAACCATAACATACTGAATCAAATCAAACCCCACACTCCCCTTTTATTAGCCCTCATTACAAACCATAACATACTGAATCAAATCAAACCACTAACCCCTTCACTAGACCTCATTACCTCCTCCTTTATTAGCCCTCATTACAAACCATAACATACTGAATCAAATCAAACCCCACACTCCCCCATCACTCGACCTCATTACAAACCATAACATACTGAATCAAATCAAACCCCACACTCCCCCATCACTCGACCTCATTACAAACCATAACATACTGAATCAAATCAAACCCCACACTCCCCCATCACTCGACCTCATTACAAACCATAACATACTGAATCAAATCAAACCCCACACTCCCCCATCACTCGACCTCATTACAAACCATAACATACTGAATCAAACCAATCCCACACTCCCCCATCACTCGACCTCATTACAAACCATAACATACTGAATCAAATCAAACCCCACACTCCCCCATCACTCGACCTCATTACAAACCATAACATACTGAATCAAATCAAACCCCACACTTCCCCTTCACTAGACCTCATTACAAACCATAAGATACTGAATCAAATCAAACCCCACATTCCCCCATCACTCGACCTCATTACAAACCATAACATACTGAATCAAACCAATCCCACACTCCCCCATCACTCGACCTCATTACAAACCATAACATACTGAATCAAATCAAACCCCACACTCCCCCATCACTCGACCTCATTACAAACCATAACATACTGAATCAAATCAAACCCCACACTCCTCCTTCACTAGACCTCATTACAAACCACAACATACTGAATCAAATCAAACCACAAACCCCCCCTTTATTAGCCCTCATTACAAACCATAACATACTGAATCAAATCAAACCCCACACTCCACTTTCACTAGACCTCATTACAAACCATAACATACTGAATCAATTCAAACCACAAACCCCCCTTTATGAGCCCTCATTACAAACCATAACATACTGAATCAAATCAAACCCCTCACTTCCCCTCCACTAGACCTCATTACAAACCATAACATACTGAATCAAATCAAACCTCACACTCCCCCTTTACTAGACCTCATTACAAACCACAACATACTGAATCAAATCAAACCACAAACCCCCCTTTATGAGCCCTCATTACAAACCATAACATACTGAATCAAATCAAACCCCTCTCTTCCCCTCCACTAGACCTCATTACAAACCATAACATACTGAATCAAATCAAACCTCACACTCCACTTTCACTAGACCTCATTACAAACCATAACATACTGAATCAAATCAAACCCCTCTCTTCCCCTTCACTAGACCTCATTACAAACCACAACATACTGAATCAAATCAAACCCCACACTCCTCCTTCACTAGACCTCATTACCAACCATAACATACTGAATCAATTCAAACCCCACACCCCCTTCATTAGCCCTCATTACCTCCCCCTTCATTAGCCCTCGTTACAAACCATTAATTCCATCTTCCATTATATATTTCTGTCAAATGATAGTAAAATGCTTTTAAACTGTACAAATGACTGAAGGACCATAAATATCATGATCAAGCATGCCTGAAAAATAATGTTTTATTGCCTGGGTTTTCCCTATTTATGATCATGTTACCAGTGTGTACATTATGTAATTCATCCCTATATAGTCCTCTTTATATACATATATATCTATATATATACACACACACTCATCTAAATCAATTCTACTTAAAAGTTATTTTTATCTGAAAAAAAAATCAAATACCTTTTAAAGTATGGTTGATTGATAACATCCCATTGATACTGATTGTGTGATAATCAATCTGATGCATCCGTCCATTATCATCACACAAAGAACAAGTGATGTTAACAAGAAGACAACATCCTTATGATTCTTAACACTTTAACATTGGATAATAATTACCTTGATTTCATTCACTTTTGTTGCACAGATCAATAAAGATGAAAGAAACCTATTTCTATATATATTTCATTCATTTATACATAAAACTTGTGTCTAATCATTGAAGACATTACTGGAAAGATTTTCAGATTATTTCAAATATAGACATAATTACACAATCAATTGCATGGATTGACAATAATGTCCTTGAACTTCATTTTATAGTTCAGTTTTTAAGGCTAGATTATAGGTAGATGTAAGCTATTGTCTCAATTGGTGTTGGTCATGGTCAATTATTCTATAAAACCTATGTCAAGAACTGCAGGATGCCAACAAGGGAAAGTTAAACAAGTGTATCTCTAGTATGGAGAGTGAGTACAGTATTAAACAAGGCACACACTCCCAGTTTGATTTAAAGCTGGAAACAAAACAAAAATACTATTCAAAATGGATAAAAACCTAAAACATCTGACTGACATGTAGACCTTGCAAGGATCCCATGTACCAATTATAGACTATATACTGTGGATTAATTTATTTTCGTGCGTAGCAATTTTCGTGGATTGAGGAAAACTTGCATTTTCGTGAATATTTGATTTCATGGTTTTGCCAAAGTCTGCATACATTCTTATTGACAATTTGTAATTCATTGTACATTAGAATTCGTGGTTCCCGGGTAACCATGAAATTCACGAAAATAGGTACCGGTATCTAACGAATAATAATGAATCCACAGTATAATAGTTATCCTATTACTCATAAAAAGTGAGAAATTCATGTGACAAAAAAACTTTTGTAGATTTGTTTCTCTTCGAGGGAACTTTTTTCTTTTGTATAATAGATATGAAGAATGAAGTTCATCTAACTTCTGAAATAAACAGGTTTATATAAATAGGTAACACACTGATTTGTATACCTATCTTTTGCATTCTGCAACTTTTCCTCCCAGGTGAGACAAAATATAACTTATGGACTCTTTGGTTCCTTATAGCTATGAATCCATAAATACTTGCGCAGTATTCAGTCCTTTAGCCGCTAATACATTTGATTAAATGCTCCGCAGTGCGCAGCTAGATACTACCCCATAACAGTTGGGGTAAGTATGGACACTACATTCAAGCTTGATACAGCTTTGAATTTGGATTGTGATTAAATATTTGACACAGCATAGGTTTCTGTTACAGAATGAATGTGGTAAAAAAACTGAAAAATTTAAAATTGGGTTTTATTATTATGGTCTGAGTACACAGTTATTTCGTAGTGCATTTCTTTTAGACAATAAATGGAAATAAAAAAAATCCCACCTGCCCTTTCTCAATAATATTTTTACAGTGTGTTGTTCTACTTTTGGGACAAATTATACCAAAATTATAGAAAACTTCATCGGCTCTAACTCCAAATATGGACAATTTTATGTTAAGGGGGTCTTGAAATCTTTTGACAGCTTCCGAAATGCTAATTCTTAACCTTTTTCAGCTGGACCAAATCACTACTTTACTTTAAAATTCATGAATCAAAACTTTTTCACAGTGTAATTTTATCCCCCTACTTGCTATTTGAGGCATAAAACATGAAGAAATAAATTTGAAAGGGGTATAAAAAAAATTGGCAAGTAACACACTGTCCACACTAGGGACTATATTTGTGGACAACGAAAATCAAGGGACGATAACTGTGTACTCGGACCTAATAGGATAGAAAAAGTTGACCAATCTTAATAAAACTTGGTATGACCTAAGCTTAATAAAATATGAGACTGCTTACAAAGTTTCATGGCAATAGGATATATATTATAGACAGTATGATAAATTCTATATTCAACATTGCGTGTTAAAATTTGACGTTAAAATTTAAAAATTTCAACTATCAACATTTGAGGCTTTAAAAATCAAAATATTGCAAAAAAATACTTTTTAAATGCCTTAATATATAATATATCATGTATTAAAAGCAATAGAATACTCATTTGAATATCAGACTTAGCATAATTATTCAAAAATCAAATCTATATGAGCCTGTGCCTAAAAATGGAGGTTTTCCAATGAAGGGGGGCCTTACATGAAGATGTAATATTTTCCAGCAATTTTAAATTTGTGAAGTTTTTTGGTTATAAATAATCCTTACATATGTATTTAATGTACTTTAAATGGAAAGAAAAATTACAAATAGCATATCATATTAGTTTAAAAGGGTCTTAGGCCAAGTAAGACTGAAAATAATTTAGGGTCAATTTAGGCTGTAGCACATATTTACATTTAAAAATGCATACTGAAGCTATAGGAAATAAAAATTTGTGTCTTTTTCATCATTTCTATACTCAGGTTACATGATACAATAAATCTGAGCACAAAAACACTCTTGAATTCAACTTTTTTGCAGACAGTATGGTCAGATGCAAAGATTTTTCAATTTTTAGTGAAAAACTTGCATGCAATTTTAGTCCCAACAGGCTTATATTTGAACCACTTGCTATCGTACAGAAGAAAAGAAAGATATGTGAAATGAAACAGGTACAAAAGACATTTTAAAGTGCTTTTTATACAAATTTAGTGAGGTCTTTATTATGGACTTCAACTTTTATGTACCAAGCTCCTCACATTTAACTTGATCCAAACAGGGCGTTAGACGAGGGTCATTTATACAACACATTTTGCACACATTATCTGAGATAATCTTCTTTTCTGTAGATTCAGAGTTCACAAATGAGTTATTCAACTGGATTAAAGCATAGAACACAAATATTGACACATGAAAACCTGTCAGATAGAAAGTCAGAATGCCAGTTATGCATCAAAATTGAAAAAGTTTGAAATGCTCATTTTGACTATGAAATGCCAAAATGGGTCATTTTTGCAGAATTTCTATCAAATAAAAGTTTAAATCCTTTAGTTTAATGCTATTTGACAAATTGACACCATTAAATCATTTAGGGAAGTTGCCAAAGTACAGATTCTATATTTCATGATTTCATCTCTTAGGTCCGAGTACACAGTTATTTCGTAGTGCATTTCTTTTAGACAATAAATGGAAATAAAAAAAATCCCACCTGCGCTTTCTCAATAATATTTTTACAGTGTGTTGTTCTACTTTTGGGACAAATTATAGAAAACTTCATCGGCTCTAACTCAAAATATGGACAATTTTATGTTAAGGGGGTCTTGAAATCTTTTGACAGCTTCCGAAATGTTAATTTTTAACCTTTTTCAGCTGGACCAAATCACTACTTTACTTTAAAATTCATGAATCAAATTTTTTCACAGTGTAATTTTATCCCCCTACTTGCTATTTGAGGCATAAAACATGAAGAAATAAATTTGAAAGGGGTATAAAAAAAATTGGCAAGTAACACACTGTCCACACTAGGGACTATATTTGTGGACAACGAAAATCAAGGGACGATAACTGTGTACTCGGACCTTATGGTTCAATATTCAAAATCTAAATACACATTTAGATTCAGCATCTCCAAGAATTTAATTCATTTATTTATTAATGGACCATAATATCCAAGTACACCAATAATTTAATTAATTTATTTATTAAGGGGCAGTATTAGCTAAGTTTTAAAAGGGGTTCACTTCATATAAAAAAAAATGATGCCCCCGCTTGCATATCATATAGTTATAAAGGGACATAACTAAAGAACAGTAAAAGTGACGCTACCCAAATTTGAACTTGATCTGAGTTTTGTGGTAATAAGCATTGTGTGTAAGTCTCATAACATTTGGTTTAGGCTAACTTAAGTAGAGAACAGAAACTAAAAATTCAGCAATTTTTCTATTTGTAAACACGCATAACTCTAGAACGGTTGTGTATAAGTTTTATAACATTTGGTAGAAACAAACTAAAAACTTCAGCAATTTTTATGTTTATAAAGGGACATAACTCAAGAATAGTAAAAGTGTCGCCACCTTATTTCCTACTTAATCTGTATTATGTAGTAATAAGCATTGTGTAAAAGTTTCATAACATTTGGTTGAGGCAAACTAAAGTTAGAAAGCGGAAACAAAAAATTTGTACTTGATCTTAGTTTTGTGGTAATGAATATTGTGTATAGGTTTCATAATGTTTGGTTGGGGCAAAAATAAGTTACAGAATGGAAACTAAAAATTTTGCAATCTTTCGATTTATAAAGGGGCATAACTCAATAATGGTTAAAGTGACACTACCCAAATTCAACTTGATCTGTGTTTTATCAGTGGAAGTCAAAATTAAACATTGCATTGTATAAAGCATTGATTGTAGTTGATTCAACTATAATCATGGACAAAGGAAGATTTTAAATTCAAACTTGATCTGTGTTTTGTGGTAATAAGCATTGTGTATAAGTTTCATAACATTTGGTTGAGGCAAACTCAAGTTAGAGAATGGAAACCAATTTTGGGACGTACGTACGTACAGACAGACAAGGGTAAAACTTAAACTTAATCACAGTTGGATTCAGTATTATAAAGAACCCCAAGAATTCAAGACTTTGAATTAAACCCCATTGAAATTGCTGAAGAAATAAGCAATTTATACAAAGTATTAAATAAATTGCTTCGCCGAGCGCAGCTGGATACGACCGCAGAGGTCCAACCCTGAACAGTTTGGGCAAAAATGGACACAATACTCGTGCTTGATACAGGTCTGAATTTGGATAGTAATTCATTATTTGACGCATAATAGGTTTCTGACACAGAATAACTGTAGTTAAAGAACTTAGAATTGGTTAATTGATTTGAATCAGAAAATGACATACATAATCATAGCTTAAATTAATTTACCTTAATCAGCATTTTTAAAATTATTAAATAGTAACTTCTAAAAATGAATTGACAGCTAATCACCTCAAGACAATATAAAAATTCTTGATACATAATTTGAAAGCAGTGTAAGGGAGGTAATTCAAAGTTGTATTTGAATTACCTCCCTTACACTGTAATTTGTACTTAAGTAATTGTCCATTAACCAGGACACCCTTGTTTTTTCTCACTTTTTTGCCCCCAATTCCAAAACGGTTTGAGCCATAAACCCCCAAAGCCAATCCTAACCATCCTTTTGTGGTATGGAAACTTGTGGTATAATTTCAGAGAGATCCATACACTGTTCCACAAGTTATTGTCATGAAACTAGAAAAATGCTTATTTGGGCCCCTTTTTGGCCTCTAATTCCTAAACTGTTGGGACCATAACCCCCAAAATCAATCCCAACCTTCCTTTTGTGGTTATAAACCTTATGTTTAAATTTCATAGATTTCTATTTACTAATACTAAAGTTAATGTCCGGAAACCAAATGTCTTCGGACAATGACAATGTGATACCAATATACGACGTCGTATAAAAGTAATGGTTTTGGCCCCTTTTTCCCAAACGGTTAGGGCCATAACCCCAAAAATCATTCCCAACCTTTCTTTTTTTGGTATCGAACCTTGTGGTACAATTTCATAGAGATCCATACACTTATACACAAGTTATTGTCCTGAACCATGTAAATCCTAGTTTTTATGGCCCATTTTTTGGCCCTTAATTCCTAAATAGTTTGGGCTATATACCCAAAAATCAATCATAACCTTCCTTTTGATGTATGAAACCTTGTGGTACAATTTCATAGAGATCCATAAACTTATACACAGTTATTGTCCTGAAACAAGAAAAATGCTTGTTTTTGGCCCCTAATTCCTAAACAGTTAGAACAATAACCCCAAGATAGATCCCAACATTCCTGTTGTGGTATGGAACCTTGAGGTACAATTTCATAGAGATCCATACACTTATACTCAAGTTCTTGTCTGGAAACCAAATGTCTTCGGACAACAAGGATGTAGACAACATGATAATATTATACGAACACAAAAAATTTGCGGTTGTATAAAAATGATACAGATATGCAAAATATGTTGCTATTTATATGAAAATATTCATTAAGAAGACTAGGGGAAAAGGATCCATCCAATAAGGAAGGAAAACCTAGAATTGTTTCTGTTTACAACCATATCAGTGCTACCCATGTAGCAATGACCCCTTCTATTTACAACCGTATCAGTGCTACCCATATAGCAATGACCCTTCTTTTTACAACCATATCAGTGCTACCCATGTAGCAATGACCCTTCTTTTTACAACCATATCAGTGCTACCCATGTAGCAATGACCCTTCTTTTTACAACCATATCTGTGCTACCCATGTAGCAATGACCCTTCTTTTTACAACCATATCAGTGCTACCCATGTAGCAATGACCCTTCTTTTTACAACCATATCAGTGCTACCCATGTCACAATGACCCTTCTATTTACAACCATATCAGTGCTACCCATGTACCAATAATTCTTCTATTTACAACCATAGCAGTGCTACACATGTAGAAATGACCCCTTCTATTTACAACCATATCAGTGCTACCCATGTACCAATGACCCTTCTATTTACAATCATAGCAGTGCTATCCATGTAGCAATGACCCCTTCTACTTACAACCATAGCAGTGCTATCCATGTAGCACTGACCCCTTCTATTTACAACCATAGCAGTGCTATCCATGTAGCAATGACTCCTTCTATTTACAACCATAGCAGTGCTACCCATGTAGCAATGATCCTTCTATTTACAATTATAGCAGTGCTACCCATGTCACAATGACCCTTTTTTTTACAATCATAGAAGTGCTACCTATGTTGCAATGACCCTTCTATTTACAATAATAGCAGTGCTACCCATGTAGCAATGACCCTTCTTTTTACAACCATAGCAGTGCTACCGATGTAGCAATGACCCTTCTTTTTACAACCATATCAGTGCTACCCATGTCACAATGACCCCTTCTATATACAACCATAGCAGTGCTACACATGTAGCAATGACCCCTTCTATTTACAACCATATCAGTGCTACCCATGTACCAATGACCCTTCTATTTACAACCATAGCAGTGCTGCCAATGTAGCAATGATCCTTCTTTTACAACCATATCAGTGCTACCCATGTAGCAATGACCCTTCTTTTTACAACCATATCAGTGCTACCCATGTAGCAATGACCCTTCTTTTTACAACCATATCTGTGCTACCCATGTAGCAATGACCCTTCTTTTTACAATCATAGAAGTGCTACCTATGTTGCAATGACCCTTCTATTTACAATAATAGCAGTGCTACCCATGTAGCAATGACCCTTCTTTTTACAACCATAGCAGTGCTACCGATGTAGCAATGACTCTTCTTTTTACAACCATATCAGTGCTACCCATGTCACAATGACCCCTTCTATATACAACCATAGCAGTGCTACACATGTAGCAATGACCCCTTCTATTTACAACCATATCAGTGCTACCCATGTACCAATGACCCTTCTATTTACAACCATAGCAGTGCTGCCAATGTAGCAATGATCCTTCTTTTACAACCATATCAGTGCTACCCATGTAGCAATGACCCTTCTTTTTACAACCATATCAGTGCTACCCATGTAGCAATGACCCTTCTTTTTACAACCATATCTGTGCTACCCATGTAGCAATGACCCTTCTTTTTACAACCATATCAGTGCTACCCATGTAGCAATGACCCTTCTTTTTACAACCATATCAGTGCTACTCATGTAGCAATGACCCTTCTTTTTACAACCATATCAGTGCTACCCATGTCACAATGACCCCTTCTATTTACAACCATATCAGTGCCACCCATGTACCAATGACCCTTCTATTTAAAACCATAGCAGTGCTACCCATGTAGCAATGACCCTTCTTTTTACAACCATATCAGTGCTACCTATGTCACAATAACCCCTTCTATTTACAACCGTATCAGTGCTACCCATATAGCAATGACCCTTCTTTTTACAACCATATCAGTGCTACCCATGTAGCAATGACCCTTCTTTTTACAACCATATCAGTGCTACCCATGTAGCAATGACCCTTCTTTTTACAACCATATCTGTGCTACCCATGTAGCAATGACCCTTCTTTTTACAACCATATCAGTGCTACCCATGTAGCAATGACCCTTCTTTTTACAACCATATCAGTGCTACCCATGTCACAATGACCCTTCTATTTACAACCATATCAGTGCTACCCATGTACCAATAATTCTTCTATTTACAACCATAGCAGTGCTACACATGTAGAAATGACCCCTTCTATTTACAACCATATCAGTGCTACCCATGTACCAATGACCCTTCTATTTACAATCATAGCAGTGCTATCCATGTAGCAATGACCCCTTCTACTTACAACCATAGCAGTGCTATCCATGTAGCACTGACCCCTTCTATTTACAACCATAGCAGTGCTATCCATGTAGCAATGACTCCTTCTATTTACAACCATAGCAGTGCTACCCATGTAGCAATGATCCTTCTATTTACAATTATAGCAGTGCTACCCATGTCACAATGACCCTTTTTTTTACAATCATAGAAGTGCTACCTATGTTGCAATGACCCTTCTATTTACAATAATAGCAGTGCTACCCATGTAGCAATGACCCTTCTTTTTACAACCATAGCAGTGCTACCGATGTAGCAATGACCCTTCTTTTTACAACCATATCAGTGCTACCCATGTCACAATGACCCCTTCTATATACAACCATAGCAGTGCTACACATGTAGCAATGACCCCTTCTATTTACAACCATATCAGTGCTACCCATGTACCAATGACCCTTCTATTTACAACCATAGCAGTGCTGCCAATGTAGCAATGATCCTTCTTTTACAACCATATCAGTGCTACCCATGTAGCAATGACCCTTCTTTTTACAACCATATCAGTGCTACCCATGTAGCAATGACCCTTCTTTTTACAACCATATCTGTGCTACCCATGTAGCAATGACCCTTCTTTTTACAACCATATCAGTGCTACCCATGTAGCAATGACCCTTCTTTTTACAACCATATCAGTGCTACTCATGTAGCAATGACCCTTCTTTTTACAACCATATCAGTGCTACCCATGTCACAATGACCCCTTCTATTTACAACCATATCAGTGCCACCCATGTACCAATGACCCTTCTATTTAAAACCATAGCAGTGCTACCCATGTAGCAATGACCCTTCTTTTTACAACCATATCAGTGCTACCTATGTCACAATAACCCCTTCTATTTACAACCGTATCAGTGCTACCCATATAGCAATGACCCTTCTTTTTACAACCATATCAGTGCTACCCATGTAGCAATGACCCTTCTTTTTACAACCATATCAGTGCTACCCATGTAGCAATGACCCTTCTTTTTACAACCATATCTGTGCTACCCATGTAGCAATGACCCTTCTTTTTACAACCATATCAGTGCTACCCATGTAGCAATGACCCTTCTTTTTACAACCATATCAGTGCTACCCATGTCACAATGACCCTTCTATTTACAACCATATCAGTGCTACCCATGTACCAATAATTCTTCTATTTACAACCATAGCAGTGCTACACATGTAGAAATGACCCCTTCTATTTACAACCATATCAGTGCTACCCATGTACCAATGACCCTTCTATTTACAATCATAGCAGTGCTATCCATGTAGCAATGACCCCTTCTACTTACAACCATAGCAGTGCTATCCATGTAGCACTGACCCCTTCTATTTACAACCATAGCAGTGCTATCCATGTAGCAATGACTCCTTCTATTTACAACCATAGCAGTGCTACCCATGTAGCAATGATCCTTCTATTTACAATTATAGCAGTGCTACCCATGTCACAATGACCCTTTTTTTTACAATCATAGAAGTGCTACCTATGTTGCAATGACCCTTCTATTTACAATAATAGCAGTGCTACCCATGTAGCAATGACCCTTCTTTTTACAACCATAGCAGTGCTACCGATGTAGCAATGACCCTTCTTTTTACAACCATATCAGTGCTACCCATGTCACAATGACCCCTTCTATATACAACCATAGCAGTGCTACACATGTAGCAATGACCCCTTCTATTTACAACCATATCAGTGCTACCCATGTACCAATGACCCTTCTATTTACAACCATAGCAGTGCTGCCAATGTAGCAATGATCCTTCTTTTACAACCATATCAGTGCTACCCATGTAGCAATGACCCTTCTTTTTACAACCATATCAGTGCTACCCATGTAGCAATGACCCTTCTTTTTACAACCATATCTGTGCTACCCATGTAGCAATGACCCTTCTTTTTACAATCATAGAAGTGCTACCTATGTTGCAATGACCCTTCTATTTACAATAATAGCAGTGCTACCCATGTAGCAATGACCCTTCTTTTTACAACCATAGCAGTGCTACCGATGTAGCAATGACTCTTCTTTTTACAACCATATCAGTGCTACCCATGTCACAATGACCCCTTCTATATACAACCATAGCAGTGCTACACATGTAGCAATGACCCCTTCTATTTACAACCATATCAGTGCTACCCATGTACCAATGACCCTTCTATTTACAACCATAGCAGTGCTGCCAATGTAGCAATGATCCTTCTTTTACAACCATATCAGTGCTACCCATGTAGCAATGACCCTTCTTTTTACAACCATATCAGTGCTACCCATGTAGCAATGACCCTTCTTTTTACAACCATATCTGTGCTACCCATGTAGCAATGACCCTTCTTTTTACAACCATATCAGTGCTACCCATGTAGCAATGACCCTTCTTTTTACAACCATATCAGTGCTACTCATGTAGCAATGACCCTTCTTTTTACAACCATATCAGTGCTACCCATGTCACAATGACCCCTTCTATTTACAACCATATCAGTGCCACCCATGTACCAATGACCCTTCTATTTAAAACCATAGCAGTGCTACCCATGTAGCAATGACCCTTCTTTTTACAACCATATCAGTGCTACCTATGTCACAATAACCCCTTCTATTTACAACCATATCAGTGCTACCCATGTAACAATGACCCTTCTATTTACAACCATAGCAGTGCTACCCATGTAGCAATGACCCTTCTATTTACAACCATATCAGTGCTACCCATGTACCAATGATTCTTCTATTTACAACCATAGCAGTGCTACACATGTAGCAATGACCCCTTCTATTTACAACCATATCAGTGCTACCCATGTACCAATGACCCTTCTATTTACAACCATAGCAGTGCTATCCATGTAGCAATGACCCCTTCTACTTACAACCATAGCAGTGCTATCCATGTAGCACTGACCCCTTCTATTTACAACCATAGCAGTGCTATCGATGTAGCAATGACTCCTTCTATTTACAACCATAGCAGTGCTACCCATGTAGCAATGACCCTTCTATTTACAATTATAGCAGTGCTACCCATGTCACAATGACTCTTTTTTTTACAATCATAGAAGTGCTACCTATGTTGCAATGACCCTTCTATTTACAATCATAGCAGTGCTACCCATGTAGCAATGACCCTTCTTTTTACAACCATAGCAGTGCTACCGATGTAGCAATGACCCTTCTTTTTACAACCATAGCAGTGCTACCCATGTCACAATAACCCCTTCTATTTACAACCATATCAGTGCTACCCATGTAGCAATGACCCTTCTTTTTACAACCATAGCAGTGTTACCGATGTAGCAATGACCCTTCTTTTTACAACCATATCAGTGCTACCCATGTCACAATGACCCCTTCTATTTACAACCATAGCAGTGCTACACATGTAGCAATGACCCCTTCTATTTACAACCATATCAGTGCTACCCATGTACCAATGACCCTTCTATTTACAACCATAGCAGTGCTACCATGTAGCAATGACCCTTCGTTTTACAACCATATAAGTACAGTCTCTAGCACTGATGACCCCTTATTAAGTAACTGCCCCTATTAGCCATGCTCCCCCCTTATATTTACCAGTTGTTGACATGTCGTTCTGTTTGACCTAACTAATCCCTTCTTATTTTGGTATTAGTTCCCTCAATTATACTTTTCAATGGATAACACCACTCAATAAACCAAAGCAGGCAATGTATTGATAAAATGTTCACTAGTATAAATGTTAAATAATCATTGTATCCATCTCCACATGAGAAAATTTAAGTGTATTTAAATTCTAATTTTAGCCCATTCAAGCGTTTACATCTTCAATAATAGGAATTTATTTCTGTGCATCGAATATCGCAGTCTTTCAACTCATTACACAACTGCCCTTGGACCTATTATATTCCATTGAAATTCTTTCACAAAAGATATATTCAAACTTGATCTCAGCCTATTCAATAGGATGAAACGCTACAAGGCTTTTTGTAATAAGATATTTAATAATATTACAAAGGAAGTCAAAATGCAGGGGAAATATATCAATAAATGTCGGACAGGTACCCTATTTATTGTGAGGTTTAAAAAGGGGGACAGTAGTGTCAACAGTTGTTCAGCTGGATGTAATCAAGAACATTTAGTTATTAATCTATTAAAGCTGTCTATTCAAAAAAAGGATGAGCATTGAAATGTCCCAGCCACATGGTGTAGTTCAGGGACATCTAATTTGCACAATAAGTGTTATGTAATGCAGTAACATTTATCTCTTCAATATAACTTCTTCAAATTATGCTAAATTCCCCAATAATAGGCCATAACAAACTTTACATATAATAATGAGAGCAATTATAAGGTAATTTTCATACAATCTACCTTTCCAAGGACATTCAAAATGTTCAATAAAAATTCATTTTCGATCTCAAAAAATAAACTTGCATAGGTAAGAATAGTTAAAAGACATTATTTCATGCTGCAATACCCAAAGCTTTTAATTGAGCACTGTCTTCTGAACTGATTAAAAAAATTAACCATTACTTAAATCAAACCTATCAAGAACTGTAGAGGCAATAGCAATTTTTATATCAATTATTATTTCCAAGGGCCATAACTAAAAATTTTTTGATTGGTACTATTTATTGAACTATATATTGACCTTCATGTAATACTGTATATATAAAAAAAAATTATCAAAAACCATCAATAATTGCAAGGGAGAGAGCTTACAAAGAAATAACCAGTATCACATAATTTATACATCTTCTCTCAAAATGTTCAATTGGCACTGATTTATAAACCTGCTTCAGATACATTGTTTATATAGACCTTTCGTATGAATTTTATCAAAATTAAAGAAGCACCATGGGTACATTAGGGGAGTTGCATCTATGGATTTGTAGTAAAAGAAACATATAAACTCCCTATTAACATTAATCGCTAATGATTACTACTTTTGTTTTTTTAATCATATTCTAATAGACCTTATTTATATGTTGATAATTTTTTTATATACCACAACGAATTCATTGGCAGAATCTATTCATGAAAATAGGTGCACAAAAATCAGTTCAAATACAGTAACACATGATATGATAATGATGTAAACAACTACAGGTCACCTTACAGCCTTCAACAATGAGCAAAACTCATATATACCTTCATCTTTACTGTCCAGCATTTTCAGTTAATCTCTTACTTTTACAAGGGATCAATGTTCAAATTAATATAGCATTTCATTTGATGGATAGAATTGTGCATAAATTTAAAATTTTCACATACCAATAGTACTTTCCCATATTTTTTACAAAACAAAAGAAAGTGACATGTTATAATCGAATAACCAGCTATGCCAAAGCCCATGATAAGCCATTTTGTGCATTTTACATTTTTTTTTAGGATAAAAGGAGATATTTATACGGATCTAACCCAAAGTAAGTGAAGTGGCTCTGTAGAAAAAGGCATGAGGATAACTTTAAATGTATAAATATTGGGTCAAATATGACAGTTAAAAGTCCCATAACTCCAGGACTGCACACAAGAAAATTCTCAAAATCAAAAACAAGTCTAAATTCACCAATGCAAACAACAGAGTAAAGTTTGTAGTAAATTGATCCAAGCATACTAGAGCTAGTATGACATGTAAAACAAATGTGAGCAAAGAACTGAAAAAATTGAAATTGAACTATCACCTATTATGGTCTAATATCCAAATTTAAATACACGGTTAGATTCAGCATATCCAAGTACACCAAGAATTTTATTTAAATTATTTATTAATGAAATATAAGTTAAGTTTTTAAAGGGGTTTGTTTCATCATAAAATAAAATGCTCCGCTGGGCGCAGCTTGATACGACGGCAGAGGTCGAACCCTGAACAGTTGGGGCAAGTATGGACACAACATTCAAGCTTGATACAGCACTGAATTTGGATTGTGATTAAATATTTGACACAGCATAGGTTTCTGACACAGAATGAATGTGGTCTAAGAACTAAAAAAATTTTAATTTACCTCTTCAAACCATATCATTATTATTTGCTTTTATATATAAATCAGAAATAACCAATTTAAAATGGAAAATTTTAAAGAAAAAAAAGTGGTATTGAACCTTATGGTAAAATTTCATAGAGATCCATTCACTTAAACTAAAGTTAGAGTGCGAAAACCAATGTGTCTTCGGACGACGATGACGACAACAAAGACGCCATCGTCATACCAATATACGACCGCAAAATTTTTTTGCGGTCGTATAAAAATTAAATAAGTGGGGAATGTGTCCATGGGACACAGATGATGCCCCCCTTGCATATAACATTATAAAGGGACATAACTCAAGAACTGTAAAAGTGACGCTACCCAAATTTGTACTTGATCTGATTTTTGTGGTAATAAACATTGTTTATAAGTTTCATAACATTTGGTTGAGGCAAATTAAAGTTAAAGAACATAAACAAATATTTCAGCACTTTTTCCATTTGTAAAGGGGCATATCTCTAGAAGGGTAAAAGTGACGCCACCAAAATTCAAACTTGATCTTTGTTTTGTGGTAATAAGCATTGTGTATAAGTTTCATAACATTTGGTTGAGGCAAACTAAAGTTATAGAACGGAAATGAAAATTTCAGCATTTTTTCCATTTGTAAAGGGGCATAACTCTAGAACGGTTAAAGTGAAACCACCAAAATTCAAAATTGACCTGTGTTTTGTGGTAATAAGCATTGTGTATGAGTTTCATAACCTTTGGTTGAGGCAAACTAAAGTTAGAGAACGGAAACCAAATTTGGGACGTACGTACGGACGTACAGACGTACAAGGGTAAAACTTAATGCCCCCTCCGCTACGGCTGGGGCATAAAAACAATTTTCAAAATATTATTCATCATTAATACAATGTCTTTAAAAATTCTATAAAACTTTCCTTTAATTATTTTCGAAATATCTAATAATGAACAGTAAATTTCAAACTATATCTACACATAATTTCTAACATTAGAATTTAGATGCTATATCTATTTCAAAATCAAAAATCTAGCTTCATGTTCAGATTCAGCATATCAAAAAACCCGTTGAATTCAATTTTTGTTAAAATCGAAATTAAGTTTAATTTTGGACCCTTTGGAACTTAATGTCATGAATGTGGACCAATTTGAAAACTGGGCCCAAAATAAAAAATCTAAATACATGTTTAGATTCAGCATATTAAAGAACCCCAAGTAGTCAATACTTTGAATTAAACCCCATTGAAGTTGGTCAAGAAATAAGCAATTAATACAAAGTATTGTTTTTGGCCCCTTTTTCCTAAACGGTTAGGGCCATAACCCCCAAAATCAAATCCCAACCTTCCTTTTGAGGTATGGAACTTGTGGTACAATTTCATAGAGATCCATACCATTATACACAAGTTATTGTCCTGAAACAAGAAAAATGCTTGTTTTAAGCCCCTTTTTGGCCCCTAATTCCAAAACATATAGGACATTAACCCCCAAAATCAATACCAACCTTCCTGATGTGATATGGAACCTTGTGGTACAATTTCATAGAGATCAATACACTTATACTCAAGTTATTGTCTGGAAACCAAATGTCTTCTGACGACATCCTCGCTGCCATAACACTATACTAATTACTATATTAAAATTTTAGTTCTTACAAAAATTGCTTCAAAGTGATTAAAGTACCATAACTCTGGAATGACAAATAGGGAATTTTCACAATCAAAATTATCTTACTTTCATCAATTCCAATATTTATGTAAAGTTTCAAGTAATTATTCCAAGCAGACTCAAGTTAGAGTAAAACATGTGGAAAATTTCCTTAAATGTGACAGTTAAAGTCCTGTAACTCTGTGACAACATAATAAAATTTGTTTAAATCAAAATAAAGCTTTCTCACATCAATCCTTATATGGTGTTACAATTTCATGAAAATTGGTTAAAGTGAATTTGAGTAGGAAGTGTTGACAGACGGACGAAAGGTAGTGGTATACCATAATACATGTATACATGTTTATAAAAGGGCATATATTATTTTCATTTACCTGTGTATAATTTGACGCAGGTTTTTTCAAAAGTGATGATTTTCTAAATATTGTTTAACATTTCACAGTGGTATCATACTTTAACTTTGTTTAAACCTGTTAATTATTTTTGACCTTAATTATTTATCCCTTATAATTTTTATTAACTATGTATTTGCATTCAGGTATCACAGATCAAATTTATTCATTCATTGTGTGTTAATTTGCGTTTTTTGATTGAGTTAAGCCTTCCAATTGATATTTTATAGTATGTCTTTCTATGTTGTGATGTTATACTATTGTTTCAGAAAAGGAAGAAGGTTTGGTACCATAAAAACATTTAATCCCGCTGCAAATGTTTGCACCTGTCCTAAGTCAGGAATCTGATGTACAGTAGTTGTCGTCTGTTTATGTAGTTCATACCTGTTTCTCGTTTCTCGTTTTTATATAGATTAGACCACTGGTTTTCCCCTTTGAATGGTTTTACACTAGTAATTTTTGGGGCCCTTTATAGCTTGCTGTTCGGTGTGAGCCAAGGCTCCGTGTTGAAGGCCGTACCTTGACCTATAATGGTTTACTTTTATAAATTGTTACTTGGATGGAGAGTTGTCTCATTGGCACTCATACCACATCTTCCTATATCTATATAACTCATGAAAGGTAAAAGTGATGCCACCTAATTTCAAACTTGACCTGTGTTTTGTGGTAATAAGCATTGTGTATAAGTTTTATAACATTTGGTTGAGGCAAACTAAAGTTAGAGAATAGAAACCAACTTTTGGGTCAGACGGGACGGTCATGGGTAACACTTAATGCCCCCTCCGCTATGGTGGGGCATAAAAATACCCTGTAAAGAAAATAAAACAAAAGAAGATGCAGAATCGTATTAATATCTTTATATCTATATCAATAAGAATATGTGTCCACAGTACACCTTAAATCTCTCACATCATCATATTTCCATGTAGTCAAGTGTTAAATCTGCTTCAAAACCCTAAAAAAGTTCACATCATAATGAACATGTGTACTAAGTTTCAAATTGATGTGACCACAATTTCATGGTAGACTTCCCTTTATCCACAAAACATTTTTTAACCTCATATGGGATGGACAAATGAGTGGACTTATGGTCATACTGACCAGAAAATGTCTCCCTACTGTCCCAGGTTGGACATAAGTTGGTAAGTAAAGTAAATGATCATTTGAATCCCCCCTCCTACAAGGACAAGGTCATCTGTTTCCACTATAAAAGTAGTTATCTTATTTTGTTTAAATATTGAACCTAACTGTTTATCAACTTTATCAATGGGATGTACTTGAGTTTTACAGAAAAACAAAAGGAGCATATAGTCCTCTCTCTGGGAAAGACTTGGTATTAATTTTAACTACCATGTGCCCATCCCCACTTGGGACAATTGAATTTTTTGGGAGTATATTGTTACAAGATGTCTGTTGATTGTTTGTGTTGCTGTTTTATTGACCCTTACCCCCACATCTCCTTTTTATTTATCTGTATTACAAGTAACTTCAGATTACCATAGTA